ACTTGTTCTTATTCACACTACTGCTGACTTCACACACTTACGTCCCACATAAGCATCAGTTTACCATTCACTAATTACAAGTAGAGGCTCTCTTACAACTAGTCAAGCACCACAACACAACCAAATCTGTTGCACCCAGTTCAGACTTGTTTAACACACTTAAGAGGGCATTACACAACCATAAGGAGTTTGGCAAGGTCACTGCATTCTACCTTACACCACTCGAACACTTACAACAGCCCTAACACCATTCAACAACTTAYAGSAGCCCTACACCATTCGGCTACTGCACACACAGCCCTTCCTAGGGCAACAATGAACCTAGTTCTCTAGGTTCTACTCAATACTAACAGCTTCTTGTAGGGTTTCTACCCAGAAATATAAGTAACACTAGAAGAAGAGAGAACCGACMTTCCTTTGAGAATATCAATCAACCATTCACTGYTGAAGTCACTTTCCTTRTTGAAGAAGGTTATGCGCAGCAGAGAGACAAGCTGTAATGTTYCTGACCTAGGGCGAACCAGTTCTCTCCATCGACTGACCAGAAACGAAGGTGAAGAGTCACGAACAATGCTGAGGTGCTTTACCAACTGACGTAGGTCAGGAGCATGGCTCTGATACCATGTTTCGATTGCTGTTACAGTAGTCCGAACAGGAAGAAGAAGAAGAGAAGAAGAAGGGTCAGTCGAAAATCTGATGGTTAATCCATCCAGTCGACCCCCTTAATCTATATTAGATTCTAATGACGTTTACAAAGACATAAATGCCCTTACTTAAGTGTGGGGCAGAGTAACTCTAATAACACTGCCACATAAGCAAGTTACTTAATAAACAGAAGAAGACTAAATTACCCCTATTCGGCACATCTTAACAGAATCGAAATCCAACATCATGTCACAACAACACACTTTTGAATCTAGTGCAGTAAATATTGAAAATAATATGGTCTCCTTCTGCATAAATTTTTAATTTCTCTTTGTCATTGTTTATGAATTAATACCCATATTGCACTTTCTCTCTGCTACTAGATATTTTATTCCTTGTTTCTCAATCCATTCATACATATTTCTTGAATGTGATGAAAACAAAGTAATTTATTTCAAATTGCATAAACAAATTAACAAATTCATAGACCCAAAAGAAAAAAGAAAGTAAAAAAAAATCAGTAAACTCTAAATAAAAGAGTTACAGAAACATATATAGATTACCGTAAGCTTTGACGAGTTGATGATAGATGGGAGCAACCCGTGGCACGATGTCATGAGAAAGATTCGTGGGCTTTGATCGAGCTTCCATAACCAACCTCTGATTCTCCTTGAGGCTTCCGTAGAGAAACCTGTATGGGAGACCCTTTATTCCTTGTTCCCTGAGATGCTTCTCCAGCTTCTTGGGTCTCCACCACACCCAGTTCACAATCCTGCATGCCCATGACAGAACCAAACCGAAAAGCAGAGCTGAAGAAATCAACAAGAGTTCTTCCTGCGTTCTTACAAACGCTTCTTATACAGCAGGTGGATGGAATATTGGGCGTGAAATGAATGAACAGAAATCAGACAATCCAAGATTCCAAGTGCCAGTATTCAGGTTTTTCTTTTGGGCGCTGCGTGTCCTGACGTGGCGCATTATTATTAATCATACAGCCGAAAACACAGCCATTTAGTGCAGCTTATCGGGTATGTTTGTTAACTTCTTGAGCAATGGACGTATCGTAATTGTATGTTTGTAAGCATTTACCTTGTTGCCCTCGACCTATCCTTGTAACACAGAAGTAAGGATCACGATTCACGACGACCACCTGACTGTTATACGGTGCGTTTTTTCCTCTTCCTTCTCATCTTTCTTTTATTTGTATGTATTTTCCCAACCTGTTCTATGTATTTATTTCTGATAATTTTTTTTTTTCGATTCAAAACAGAGGAGAGGTTTCACCCACCACCGGCCATCTCCGGCAACCACTGGCAATAGTATACATTGTAACAGGTGTGCATTTTTTGCTCTCTTCTATCTACTCTATTTTTTTATATTTGCATTTTTGCCGATTTTTTCTTCTTACTGATCATCATATAAAACATGAAAATGGTAGCTTTTATTTCCTTCCGTGTTTACTGTTGTTGTTGGTCGCCGGAAATGGCCGGCGGTGGGTGAAACCTCCCCTTCTCTGTCTTATGGGTTGTTTTTAACTTTTTTGTTTTAATTCCTTCCTCTTTTCTTATTACAACACAAGACAAACTAAAATATCAATGTTTTAGTTTCTTCCTCTTCATTATTGTTATTACAACAACAGAATACAAACTAAATTAAGTTGCTTCATTTTACCCACCTAGCAGGCAATAACCGAGTAGACTGGTCGATCTAAACATGTTTGAAGGATGCCAGGTTCCTGTAATTCATCCAAAGCCTTCTCCCACACAACGGCCTCGTAGTTGTTGGTGACACCCTTGTCCGTTGCATCCAGTATAAGCCGATAATTGAATCCGGCGACCACTTAATTGGGTCTCACCCCGCACCACCTTTTGGAACTGGAGGTTGGTCTTGGCATCCTTGTTGTACTAGGCGACGACAAACTGCCCGATCTCTTGCACATGTGGGTCATTCACATCTTGAATGGGTTGCTAGCCACCGAGTAGTACGACGGACACTATTATTGAAGAGAATGAAGGAAACTAAGAGGGGAATCAGGAAGAGAAGAAGAGACTGGATTTTCATTCTCTGCTTTATGGGTTGGGGTATACATAGAACAGGTTAGGAAAATGCAAATAAAAAAACTGAGAATGAAGAGGAAAAATGCACCTGTATAATGGTCGGGTGGTCATCGGTGATCCTTAATTGACACGTGGTACCCTTCTCAGGAAGAGAAGAAAAGACTGGATTTGCATGTGACATCACGTGATTGATAATTTTGTCCATAATTCCTAAATTACAATCAAAAATACCCTTTTGATTTTAGTTCGGTCTCACTGACTTTGTCAGCACTAGACCTATTGGACCGTTACTTGTCACCAGCACTGGAACTGCGGTGTATAGCTCACCGGCGTCCTATTGCTAGTCACTAGCACTGGACCGTTGTTTGTCAGCGTCAGTATCGTTGGTGCAATGAATGTTTTGTTAGAGTAGGGCTCGTCATCGACGCCCTCTTACAGAACAGCAATGGTGTTGTTTTAACTTGCAGTGTTGGTGTTTTGGAACTGTGGTGTGGGAGAGGATAATGGCGGTGACCAATGCACTACGATGTGGGGGAGAAGAGAGGAGAACGACGATGGGATTTTGAATAGATGCAATCATTGACTGTCATCTGTTCGACAAAATGCCCAACCCCCCGCATGCATAGCCCCCCATATCGCATGCATAGCGGCC